TGCCACTCCATGTCAGCTTAGAATCAAGATACCCTGCCACAGACTCCTCACCCAGAAAGCAGCACGGGGTCTTCTGCCCTGGTTCCTAATCTCCTCACCTGAGGATCCAGGACACTGAGTTAAGGGAAGAAGGAATCATCTCATACATGGACAATGCAGGGCACCCCAGGGGTGGCATGGAAAGCAGCAGCTGCAGAGCAGAAGCTCATTTGCCTGGGCATTACAATTAACCTTACAAAAGACAAGCTGGAGCCGAGAGTCAGTGCACACACTCTGGAGCAGGGTGTGGCCTGAGCCATGGCACAGGAGACAGCAGCTACCACTGCAAGCACTACCGCATTCCCTTCAGAAGTGCCTGCTTTGCAGGTCATTTTTTAAAGTCTTGTAATTGGAAAGCTGGAACTCTAAGCAAAGAGTAGGCAACTTTCAGGGTCATCCCAAGGTCTCATCTCTCTAACTGGGAGGCTAATGTTAGTAGCATGGGAATACTGGAACTCTTGACCTGCCTTGGTCAGTCTGTATACAGGTTCCCTTGAACTACTTTTCTCTAGTTCTCCACATGCCCACAAATCCCTACCAGAAACAGGCATTTCCAAAGGAAGTGGGCTACTAGCTTGACAAACTAAGGCAGAGATGAAGCAGCTGGAGTCCATCAATTATGATGAGAAAGCCCAGAGACCTAACGACATAAAAAATATTGGCCATGGCAGATGCTTAGGGCATAGAGATGGATCCCAGATCCAGGTGAAGCAAGTTAATGCAAGCAAGATGATGAAACAGATCACTAAGAACAAAGATATCAAGACAACCCTGTCAGTCCATCTTGAGCTCCTGTGGGGACCTACCCTAATAATGACAATGATATCGCTAGAAAAGATGGAAAGATGGGGGAAAGGTCATGAGAGAATGGAGCTTTAAGTAGTTGCTACACAATTTACTTGAGTATTGTATAATCTAGTAGGCCAATTAAGTTTAACTACTCTTCTGTAAAAAAAGAGAGGTGAAAATGTCAATGTTATTTGTAAGTGGTAGGAAATCCTAGCAATTCCTCAAGTGCATCCAGTCCTATACCCTAAGTTCCCCACAAAACCACATAGGACATCAGTTAAAAACAACATTGTCAACATCAACAGGGAATGAGACTGCTCCTACCACAGTAAGGGCACTAACAGCTGAGCATGTAGTGGACAAATACTCAAAGACAAAAAGGGCCTTCACCTTCTAGTCAAGGGTTCTGGAAGAGCTTCTGTATTCTGAAGGGAATATACTTTTCTTTTTTTCTTGTTGAGTCTCACTACATAGCCCAGGTTGGCCTAGGACTTGATATTCTCCTGCCTCACATCCTCTTTACTGCTGGGATTACATGCCATCATTTTGCTACCTTTTGAAGATGAGAATTAAACAACAACAAAAAATTGGTCCCTAATTTTCTGAAGTCATTCAGCTCTGAACTGTAACATTAGCAAACATCTGCAATACCTTCACATATTCATATAGCACTTTCCTAATTATACATGTAATAAATTATAGAAGTGATTCTCTATCTGCAGTTCCAGGTCCCCTTACAGGTGAGCCTTCAGGTCAGTCTGCATCTAAGCAAGTGTTTTATCATTTTAACATTCATAATGACTTTATAGTTCAATTGCATTTGATACTCTCTCAAAGTGCTTCTGTGTACATATCTCAGTCATTAAAATGGCACTGAGCAACATATTTCTTTTTGAACAAAAAGGAATGTAGGGCTAGTTTATTTCTTTCTTAAACATCTTCAGCCAGCATCCTTTAACTACAAAGTGCAGATTTCTACATTGCTTACGTTGAGACGAATAGCCCTATATTTTCTTTTCATATAGTTTGAATTCTACTGAAGGCTTGTTTGGTTAGCATTGCTGTTCCTCAACATTCAAGCTCCTTACTGCCAGGGTGTGCTGAAGCCTGTGCTTAGAAGTGTGCAGCACCATATGGACTGATTGTCTGAGTCACTTTTTAGCAGCGTCTCACAAAGCAGCAGGAATGGTAGAAAGACGTTACAAGGTCAGGACTTCTTAATTCTAGCCTCAGCTCTGCCACTAACTGCTCCAAGATAATGGCCTAGTGACCTAGCTGTCCCCTCCTCTAGTTTCTTCATCTATACAAAAAAAGTGTACTAACAGTGTTCAGACAGTGCTGCAGAAATTCTTGGAAAAACACATTGGCTGTTATCTTACCCCACTGGGAATTCCAATACAGAGTAGAGCTAATTCATCAGTTTTTCCTTTAAAAATCTCTGGAGGATTATTGTATGTTCCTGGATTAGGCATAAATAATAGTAGTTAATATTTATGAAGTCTCATTGTGCACCAGAGCTAACTGTCTTGTAAACATCTCATTTAATCTTCCCAACATCCCTGTTTTGCAGAGAGGAAACTGAGTCTCAAGAAGGTTTAGAGGACCTGCCTTCTAGACTGGCTTTAGAGTCTATACTCTAATCCACTGTCTATACTGCTGCATCCTTTAAGCTAAAAAACTCTGTATCTTTATTAACTGGGAATTATTTTGCCAGGCAATCTTCAATTGAATTGTAAGAAAATCTTAGTTGAAGCCTTAAAATGCAGCTGGGAGCAGGTCTCCACTATAATGACATATAGAGAGACACCTTGAAAAACACCAAGTTTCTTATATAACAGAGCTCACAGCTTGGTATCTCATGTTCAAGTCACTGTAAAACACATCTTTTAAGGACGTGCCAATTTTTAAAGCCCCTCCCCCTTCTCTGAAGATCATGGTAGGAGTCTAAACATGTGCAATTATAATTGAGTCTAAACATGTGCAATTATAATTGAGTCTAAACATGTGCAATTATAATTGAGTCTAAACATGTGCAATTATAATTTTACTGGAAGTTTAAAGAAATATTTCCTGTAAAACATAATCAAGATGTATTCAACATAAAACACTCCATGTGAAGGTAGGAAATCTAACTGGTATCCCATTTCCTGTACATGAAAGGGATCAAGCTGTGGCAACCTAAAGGTGTGCATATAGGAAATACCTTGGGAGCTGGCCAACTCCTCTACAAGGACATTTTCTCTTACTAGCTGCTTTGCTTTTATACTACATGAAGTCAAATTACATTTTAAAAACATTTTTTTATGTGTATGCTTGTACTGCCTGCATGTAGGTAAGTGTACCCGTGTCATGCAATGCCTGCGGAGGACAGAAGAGGCTGTTGGACCCACTGGAACTGGAGTTATGGACAGTTGTTAGCTGCCATGTGGGTGCTGGGATTCGAACCCAGGTCTTCTGCAAGAACAGCCAGTGTTCTTAACCACTGAGCCATCTCTCCAGCCCCCATTTTTAGTTTTTAAAAGAAGTTTGCTGCTTTGGATTCAAGCCTTTTAATTTATTAAAAAATTTTCTCCCTAAGCTGCAAGTAGAAAGAGAAAAACCTAAATACTTCTTCTATAGCAAATTAACCTAAACTCTGAGGCCTCAATCTTTGAAAGCTGCACAGCATATGCATTATGGTGCATGTGTGCATGCATGTGTGTTGCAATTGTTGCTGCTACTCAGTGTTGAGAACAAAATCAATTAATCATGAATTCAGTGCACGCCTGTTGTAAGCAAGCCAGAACCAGGTGTGGCCCTGAGTGAGACATAGCCCTGACTCAGTACCCTCCAGACTGCAAAAACCAGTGAGTGAAATACACGCAGTAGTGCTTCTCCAAAGCTTATTTTCAGGACTCCTAAGGAAAAACAAACAAACAAACAAACAGCAAACAACCCATGAACAAACATACAGCTCTTGCTTTAAAACAAATAAAAAACCAGAACAAACAAAACCCAAACCTGAAAACAAGAATCTCTTAACTCACATCCCAAACAACAGGGACAAGCTTTAAAAGCAGCATGAATAATGGCCTCAAAATAATGGCTGTCTCCTCCCCACCTTTAAGAGACTGACTGACTGACACAGTAAATTCAAGTTTATGGGTGCATATGGTGGTGGGGAGTGGTAAGGAAGAGGTGGGAGAATTCACCTCCAAATACTAAGGGATATTAACCTGGCCCCTTGCTGTCTGGACTACAGTTGTGGGGACATACTTATGGGGTTCACCCAACATTGGCTTGGAGTATCTCCTCCTTCCTAACTCTCTTACCAGGAAACTTTTCTAGAGCAGCAGTGATAAGTATCCAAATTGTCTTTCTTTCCAATTTCTTTCTTGGTTAAAGATGCTAAAAAACCAAACCCAAAACAGTTTCCCCTTTAGTATTCTAGCCGGGTTATTGTAAACTCAGCAGTTCTAAATTTCATTAGTATTTCCTATTCAGTAAAGCAATCCAACATAAGAGCATTTTACTAAAGAGCTTTCCAGAGTGACTCTCAAAAGGAAGCTATACACTTGTTTGCAAAACACTCTTGAGAACATGGACTATTACCTTCAATTAACAGATCAAGAGATGGGGTGGTGACTTGACAGTAGATCAGTGACAGAGTCAGGAAGAAAACTTACTGCTCAATGTTGAGTTCCTATCTTCCTCTATCAATATTCCTTTGGAAGAAGAAAATAAAAATATTTGTATTGGGTTCTCTTTGGGGACTGGAAGAGGGCCTTTATAAAGCTTTAAAAAAAGAATCAATCAGTAACTGGAATTAGACCAGCTACCAAGAACATTAATAATATCTAACCATTAGCTTCAGCTCCACGTGACCCTATTAGCTTCCACAATTTTAACTGATTAGGGAAGGAAAATGTCTATTTTCCAAGGGCAAAATGTATTTGTAGGTTAGGTCTCTAGGTTTCTGGGTCTAACTGGTGCTCTTTAAAAAGTGAACTACTCCTGCCAGGCGTGATAGTGCACGCCTGTAGTCCCAGCACTCGGGAGGCAGAGGCAGGCGGATCTTTGTGAGTTCGAGGCCAGCCTGGTCTACATAGTGAGTTCCAGGATAGCTGGGGCTACAGGGAGACCCTGTCTCAAAAAGACAAAAA